CCAATTTGGTCTGGGCCCGAGGTGGGCTTAATAACCGGCGACTACTGTACAGAGAACTACGAAGAATAACACGAGCGAATTGATGAACGACTGTTTAAGACTCACCTGACCTTTAATAAGCTAATGAAAATCCGACCAACATATGTGAACAGAAACACAAAATTTCGTTCACACGGCATACGTTAGTAACATAGTAAATAACACAGTTGGTGGGCGGAGTAACAGCTGTCTGAATCCGATTCTGCCTGTTTGTTAGGTTAAAAGGTGTGGCCTTTGACAACCATACTGTACTTGCTTGCTTCGGGAAGACAACAGCTCGATGCGCGCCGATTGAGTTGATAGGAAATTTTGAACATAGTACTAACAGCACAAAGTCTGTAGCTGTGTGCAAAAATTTAGAAGTGTCGTAGTCTTTAAAGGCCCCATCAAAGTAAAATAGAAGATCAAAGGGTCCGCATAGTTTGTGGCAAATCGCAAAAAATTAAGCAACCGGTACCTCGAAAACTTATTTGCTTTTAATACACCACGGTTAGAAATTACGGGCATCGGCGGAATTTCGGAAACTGAAATGGGGGAGCTCGGAGCTGTTAATGTTGAGGGATATGCAAATATTTCGGCAGTATGCCCCGCCCTAGAATCTTCATTATACATGCTCGAAAAAACTGCTGAAAACATTCTCATGTCGGAGAGTTTTGAGGAACTTTTTACCGAATGCAGAAAATTCCTTGATGAATTAACCTCCTCTCCTAATGTATGTCTGTTGCATTTGCTTTTACTCCTGTAAAGAAATGTCGTAGAACAGGCCCATGCGTACAACCCATAGCAAAAATTTTATTTACTTTCCAAAACGAGACCCTTCAGCTTCTCAGTTGGTTGAAATTAGTTCTACAATCTACCCGGTCAATAAGCGGGACCCAGATCAGCGTGAACAAGATTCTGAGGCTGAAAGCAAGTTTTCATTTGTTCCTAATAACTCTTAGTTTTTATCATGACTAGAATTACTGGTTGTATTGCTTCTTTTTGTGTTGGGGGCCTCAAAAGCATAAGTATCCGGTTATGTATATTTCATGCAGTCCAACCTAAATAATATTACATTGTTTCATATTTACGTCATTTAAAAATGCTTACAAGCTTACTTGCCGTGATTAAAGTTCTCGTCGAACATGTAATCAACACTTCATAATTTAGTTACTCCAATGTAACTAATGGACTTAAATCTTGTCCTGGGGCCTTTTAAATGAAGTTGATTTTCGATTCTGGCATGAAAATAATAGATAGGCTGACGGCGTTTTAATGATATAACTAGCCGAGTGTGGGTCAACTCTATCTCAACTTCTTTGAACTTTTATTACATTTTTTAACAAGCGAAAGAGCACACATTTGCTTAATCATTCGAGAAGTCTTTTTTATGATGTTTGGGGTAGGGGGAAGGCAAAAATCTGGCCACCGTTACTAAGACGATTAAGTTATATTTGGCAAAGTAATATCCATGGGAGAAAAAACCTCACCATTGAACTTCTTATAGCAAGTTAGGTCGACTCCGGAGCTTCATGAGGTCTCGTCCGTAGATTCAGTTGAAAACTTGCGATTGGGTGTACCAGGTTATTATAAACTATTTACACATTTTGTTACGAAATATTGTCTCTACGCCTTACCCAATTCAAAAGATCGAACTTTTCGACAGCTGACGTCTTCGTAAGAGAGTTCGCGTCAAAAAACCGCCAATTAGGGACATGTGCGATTACTCTAGTGAAGGGCCGTTTATTCTATTGATTCAGCCACTCGTTATTATGGTCCCAAAGCGAGCTTACCGGAGACGTTATTTTTTGAGAATATATGTCTACTGTCGCAGTCTTCAGTTAAGAGAGCAAATGTTTATCCAAGTGGGAGCCGGGAGATCTCAATATGGTCAATCCAACGCTAAACGACTAGAGAAGAATGAAGGAATCCTAAGGACCGTTTCTGTGTACAGCAACTAGTGAATTTTAAGATCAAAATAGGGGGTTTTTTAACCTTTCGTCAGCAGTCGGGTAGATATATATAATATCTGCATAGACCGCATCAAACCTGGTTATGTTTAATTTTGAGAATTATGAAGAAAAATTTCAGGGCTTGTGTTCTCGAGACTGAGCCATTTCGGCGGAAATTTTTAACTACTGATATCTTGGGTCTGCTCACACGAATAAACGTGCACCTGTAAACAATGTAAAGATCAGTCGTTACGATTTGCAGGCATGGTCTCCTAAGTGACCAATAAAGTGAGCCGTGTGTGTACATCGCTGACCGAGAGTTTATGCCTTTGAAGCACCCTGTTATACAGTAACAAAGGCCTGTCTGTCAGGCCATGACGTAAATGCCTTGCTTCTGGTGTGAGTTGTGCAAATTTAAGTTCATTATACTTCTTCCGAAAACCATTTGGACACACACTCTTGCCAGCTCTGTTAGAGCATGTCTTAAACACGTGACCCTTACATTTAGAATTTCCGTGCGGAACTTCCAGAAAATGAATGAAATCATATTACTTCGGCAGTTATTAGCCTTCAATGCAGTTACGTAATTGGTTATGAGGACAGTATACAAGCCCGAAAATTAGGCATTCTCTGCGCTGCCTCTACGTGTAAGCACGTAATGTTCACCTATTCGACTTTTTATCTAGCTATCATTAGAGGGCTTGACGCAAATGCACTGAGTTTGAAGCAAAGGGAACCCTACACATCTAAATTCAAAATTGACTACAGTTCAGACAAACTTAAGTGCTCGGTAATTTAAGGCAGATTTTTAAGCATTTAACAACCATCACTATTTTCATGTTTATTTGTATTCATTTAAGGAACACCTTGATGGGTACCGTTCTAGGGAACCAAATTTCCACAGGATCCACGCTGTTAGTGATCAGCTGCTGCTTGCAACGAGGCCGAACCGCGCTCTGTCAGTTTCTCTCCCACTAGAAGCGCACGACGAAGGTTGCTCCTCCTCAAAACGGACCAACTGTCGTTCCGATATGGGTCGCAACTTCGCTCGACTCCTTGACGAGCTCGACGAACGTTGGATTAAAGTTGGACGACATCTTCGGCGGTACGAAACCATGTTACAACCAAAAAAGCTTCTTAGTAGTAAGTCTACTGCACGCATTTTGCTGTCTTAAAATGGAAGTTCTGATATCTCCTCAACTGGCAGTGCCATATGTTTCTTTTATTTCCCTCATTCGTTGCCATGGTTAACTGATATTTTCCATCTTTCAGAACTCCAGGAGGAGGTGGTTTCCCTGGCTAGTCTAACCTCTCAGATAGACCAAGGTGAGTTCTGCAACTTTTATATTTATGTGGCGAGTTCGAACTCCGCTGGTATCATCAAAATTTTAACACTTTGGTAATCACTCAATAGTGCGTTTATTAATATTCTTCGGGCATCAATTTGTATGCGTTTGGTGATATTCGTTAGAAAGGTGAAAGACCGGTACTGCTGGCCGTCTC